TTATTTAACAAATCTTACGTGATCAGAAAAAACAAACGTGCACAGAAAAATAGTCTTTGCATTTGCTTACGTCAGTAGCGTACACCCATGGGCAAATGGGGGACGCTAAATTGATCAATCAGAGCACGCGCTTTACTTTGGTTATGTTATAATTTATTCTTGGCACTGTTCCCCATATGTTTCTCATGATTCTTCTGATAATTTGATGTTAATGAACTAATATACTCTTACTGATATTTTTCTATCTTCTGGTGACATTAATGTTTAATTCAGGGATGGAATTGTAAGGGGGGAAATTATATGCTGGTCACTCTTAAAAGTCAAATGGGTTAATACAACTAGCTTACTAAAAAATATATAAAAGAAACTGTTTGGAAAAAAACTTCCCTTGCTGTTGTTATTGATCATTTATTAACTTTAAGGTGGTTGTCTACATACATGTACAGTTTTGGCAGTTCATGAATTACACAAAATTATCTGACTTATCTTCATAGCTTTTTTTACCTCAGTTGAAGAGAGAGAATCATCTGTAGATGTTGTTTCAGAAAGATTCAGTGATCCTGCAAAAGAGGTTACACTGAAAATTACAGCAAGCAAGCAGACCTTTCCAAAATATTCAGCAAATTGTAATCAAAAACCCTTGTTCCTGAGCAATTTAGATTAATTTGTAAGGTGGCCAATTTATACTATCAAGTCAGTTGATAAAACCAAAATTACCAAGTTGTTAGTTATTAAGCTAAAGAGCCTACATCACCATGTAGTTCTAAAAATGTTTTCGTAATCCCCTCAACCCAGAGTGAATTAAAAACATGTAATTTCTTGAGATAAGCGCATTATCAAGATGATCAGAATTAACAAAATTTTCAACTGGAAGGTGCACCACCTTCAAAGAGCACCAGCCAATCATCTCTCAGCTAATCTAGAAAGACATGTATAACAGCTCTATTATAAATGTATTAAGGGAAATGGACCTAGTTATATTTCTGATTTCATTATGTTCCGTGTTTCACATTACAGCTTAAGGGGAGGTGGCTGTAACCTTGTTCAGCCTACCTATAACAACCAGTATTTCCATAATTCTTTTACTTATAAGATTACTCACTTAGGGAATAAACTACCTACATATATTAAACAGTCACCCAATTGAAATGCATTTCATAAAAATTTGGAATTTATTAACCTTTTAAATTTAAGGACTAGTTGTCAATGTAATTATTGCTAATTGTAAATAGTTTTCAATGTTCATGTGACAATTTTAGGCTTGGTGAGTATGTATTTACTATTACTATTATCTAGTTTATTATAGTTAGATAACAATTGTTCATTTATTTATTTTATTCAGTTTTTGTCATTGCGTTTTATACACGAGCCTCTGGCTCAGATACTGAGGGCAACCTCAATCCCAAGCTATGACTTTAATAAATTGACTTGATTTGATTTGATTTGATTTTGAAAGGTAGAATCTTACTTGAGGCAGTGCGGGAATGGGACTTTTTAAAGAGTCCTCCAGATGAACCAATACTGGATGATGATTCTGTTAAAAAGACATAATATGGCAAACAATGCTAATTAATAATAAATTAGTCCAAGTACAACAGTACTCAATGTTTCAAGAACATGTACAATGCAAGTTTGCTACTTCATGCACAGGTGTAAAACAACATCTGGAGGAAACATTTTGATTTTAAATTGTCACATAAAAATATACATGCACATGTACCTTCATGAAGTTACATTACTGTACATGAAATTTTTGCACTGAGTAAATTATTGCATGAGTATATTTAGCCACAATTCTATATAGATTTAAAGTTAAGATTTTCCAAAGGGTTTTTCAGTGAATCACTTAGGATAAATTTCAGGCTTTTGAACACAACAAAATTTCTTTACATGACATGTACAGTATGATGTAACTAAAATCATGTCATGGATATTTCTTTCCCTTTAATAACCAATCACTGAGATAAAACCCACTAACAAGCTGATTATATAGCATGGATACAGAATGTACACCTGCACGTACCTTTTACAGCCAAAGCAGCACTGTCTGTCATGTATGCCACCAGTTTCGCTCGCTTTTCTCGGCTTTTCTCTGACTTCAAGTACAGATGAGTGGTCAATTCTTTAATCAGCAACTCATGCTCCACCTGAGAAAAATGACAAAAATAAAAAAGACAGTTGGTACGATCAAGTGCACTCTTCGACAGAATGTACCTTAAGTACTCCCAATAGCAGTGTTCTCCTTTTCAGGTGGTAACTGGTAAAATTTACTGCCTCCAACCATTTTTAATTAATACCAGCTAAAATCATTTGAAATTCTTCAGAATTAAACAGGTAAAGGGATTGCATTACCAGTTTGAATGTTTACCTTCAATCACCAGTTGTGCTTGAAACAAGAGAAAACACTGAATAGCCCATCATAGAAAAATTAATGTAAATGCATACACCGCAACAGATCAAAGAAAACTCAAACTTCAATATGTGAAAAAAGACTGAAGAGTGACTAAGTTGTGACTGCGTTTAGCTTTGCATCTGTTTGCTTGATATAGAGGCATGCATTTCCTTGACCAATCGCTATATGTAAATGCTGTACATGCAGTGTACAAATAGGGATCACTACTCCCACAGAAAAAACTTCTCCATGGAGCGATACATTATTAAGCAACAGAACTTAATTGTCAGCAAGACAGTTGTACAATGTACCAACACAGTAGTCTTAGCAATAGAATACTATCAAACTTTATCAACCTGATCAGGAACTTTACATCCCATGCATGATCAAGAAGACAAATGAAAGTGGTCTTAAAATTTGCTCAGTTTGTTTAACACACTTTCTCTACTTGCCTTTTTGCGTGACTGCAAATCAAGACGAAGATGTCTCAGTGCCTCTACTCCAGACAAACTTCCCTCAAGTAGAGAAACTGCATGTAGAAATACACAAATAAATTAAATTAAGAACATTTTCATCTTTAAGTCCTGGATATTTTTTTTTTAACATATACATGTATGTAAAGTTGTCTTTCCAGCTATCTCTATCTAAAACTCTCTTAAATCATTTAAGAAGATAACTTATTACACGACTCAGGCAGTCAGAGGGCCAATAACTAAAATCAACTAATCAAAATGCTCTATTGCCAGTCAATATTCTCTCAGTATTGGACCGGGCACTGTCCTGAATGATACTGCACTTGTGTTCCTTTGAACTTCAGTCGTATAATAAATCTCTTATTAACCAAGCTTGCTCGGTCTGTACTGTCAAGACCTCGGGCCAATATTCTCCCAGTACGGCCCTCGTGCTTGGTTAATAAGATATATATATAACTCTACTCAGGTGAGGGGTCATTTTGTAGACAGACAAGTGCATCAGAATCCAGTTCCAGGGACCTTAATTCTGGCCCAGGGTGTGCATGTACTGTTTTGTGTTCTTAATAAAACTATAATTATCTAAAAGTGCCTCTCTCCAGTAGAGTATAGTTAAGTACTTGCATATTAGGTATTACCAAAGAGACCACAAAAGCAATAAAAATGTGAAGGGGTAATTTGCAATGGATTATTATCTTGCACAGGAGTTGAGTATGTGAAGCAATATTTTGTCATACTTACCACTATCAAACCAAGATAACCTCCAAAGGGATAATAACACACTTTCCAAACATGCAAAATTGAATATATTATTTTTAAATTTAATTTACATTACATACCTGTAGATACAAGAAGCTCTGTAGCATGCAAGTAATATTTCTTTTTCTTATATTTCTCAATCTGTTCGGGGACATTCTTCACTTGATCTCTAAAAACAAGAAAAAAATTCTACATAGAGAGACCTGTTACAGGATTGTACTGTACACATGTATAAGAAGACCAGAGCTGCAAACTGGTGTCTTTGCAGAGTTTCACCAGGTGCTTCAGTCTGGTGCGATCTACAGATGTATGCCTGTAGAGGGACTGAAACACCAACCCATATTCTTCTCTGCTAACTTGACTGACGTGCCAGAGTCAGTTTCTATTTAAGATCTCCTTCCACACCAGTATTCATTCTTCCTCAAGAGTCTGGAACTCTTCAACAGCAGCAGCAATTTTAAAACATGTAACCTCCCAGTGGCCATAAGGAACATGTCAAGTGACTATATAACGCTTTAATGGAGTGTTTGTAAACACTTAAGAAATAGTTTATGACTCTATACATATTACATTAAGTATAACATTAAATATTAAGGAACATTTTATTAAGTTATCATATTCATTAAAAATTTCTTATTTTTTTTAACTTTTAGTTTTACACTTACATGCACATTTATAAATTATATAACTGTAGGTAGTTTACTCAAGTCAGGTGAAGAGTCATGTTTATTCAAAAGAAATACTACAAATAAACTACATGAATCAGTACTGTCATTATCAAGAGGCCATGTACATGTGAACACATACAAGTAACTCTGTGCACATGGAGAGTCACCTGCCGTGCGTCACTGTACAGTTTAAACAAATACTCAATGACAGAAGTAGAGGTGGCCAGTGGTGAATATTTTACCATGCTGCAAAGCAGCAAGCGAAATATTCACTGATAGCCTCCAACATTGACAACGCAGAATTACAGAGAGCTTTCAATAAAAAGACACTTGAAAATCATGCATGAATGTAGCTCAACGCATATAGCAAAACAAAATAATTTAAAATATTTTATAAGTCAGAGTGCTGCATGCTTACCAGGGTTTTGGTGATTGACAACCCTTTACCCCTTGAGAGAGACTAACATCTAATTTGTCCTCATAATAATCACCCCTGAACCACACATCAATGTCATGAGAATAAAACAAATGATCACCTACTAGAAAGCTCTTGATTGTTAAATAATTTCTCCTTGTCAGAGCTGATGGAAATGCGCAGAGAAGAGTAACTTTTAGAGAATATGCAAACTGATGTTGGGGACTGAAAAAGCTTAAAGGAATCAGCAAAGAAGAATTTGATGAAATTTACCAATACTGCATGGGTTGTTTACAACAATAGGCACCAAAATGGTTTGTTTCCCAAATCTTTACTGAAGAGGACAGCATTGAGTTGAAAAAGGAAACTTATTTTCCTTGTCTAAAAACCATCATTGTATCAAAACTAAGCCTTGAGTGCAACCTGAGGGTAAAACACTGTTTTTACCACATGAAAGCAGACTAGCATCCTTTTCTCAATGTCTTAAGCTGACCAATTTAATAATATATATGAGAAAACTACTTACATTCTATCTAAAAGATTTAAGACTTCATTGTACTCCAAGCCATCCATCCAATACTTCTTCAATTCTTCTCTCTTGCAGTGCAGTAATGACTTGCATGCTAACAAATTGTCTCTTAGAGCTTTAACTTTCACAAGAGATGCTGTGTGTACTTCAAAATTTAATTGTGAAAATTAGCCCCTGAATTAGAAAGATTGAAAAAGCAAAGAAACCCTAGTCTAAACTGGAAATCTCATCTATATGTGTATTGTATTTCCTCCAATAAGAACCCACATCCTTAAACTGATAAGCACCCCCAAGGCACTCCCCTCCTTCACTTTCTAAAATAGGAGGGATACAAGGAAAAAATTGCACATTTATTCATAACTTTTTAATAGTTAATAGTTTAATCGTTTCTTTTCCATTTCAGTCATTTCTTTCTTCGTGTGCTTGCAAACTTTATATGCACCCCCCTTAATTAAGTGCCCTCCCTCCAATACCCCCCTTTTATGAAATGCGACTCAAAGTGGCACCTCCCCTTGGTTTGGCGCCTCCTTTAAACAAGCCTGTCATGAACTACAATTAATTTTAGTGGAGTGTATAACTGCAAAACAATTAGATTCACTTTGTAAAATTACACTTAAAAAAAACTTTTTCTAGTTAGCAAATGTGTAACTTGATGTATGACTGCAAACTACACCTTCATAAACACTTGAGGTACCTGCTTTGTATATCAACCCACATTTAATTACTAAATCTTTTTTACACACAGAGATCTTACATCACAATTAAGTGACAACCACACTGGGCCATATGACTAAGGAAAAAAGGAATCAAAACAAACACTCCTTGTTTTCACTTGAATTCAATACACAGGTAGTTACCCCCAAAACACAACACAGTCACAAACACAAACCTAAAATTCTTGTTGAAATTCCAGTAAATGTTTGAATGCTTGATTTCAAGTGATCCTGGTGTGCTGCAGAAGGACAAATAATTCAAAGGTTATATGTAGTTCTATTGTCACCAGCACTAATTGCACTTCTCAAGAAGCGTGCCACAGTTCCAATGCTCCTTGTTGTTCTTCAGCTGTATTCTGAACTCTGAGAAGTCATTTACAGCGACACATCAGACACATGTTCATACAACAACTATGTATACAAAGAATAGAAAACATGACACAGAAACAAAAGCAAAAGACAATTAACACAATAAAAATTACAATAATTCCTGCAAAGTTTGTTAAGACCTTTGTCATTTCCTCAATTACAGAATCTCTTACCTTCGACTAGTCTATTTAGCTTATCATCATATTCGTTCAATTCATGTTGCAACCTTTCTCGTTCAATATCTCTTCTTTCTGCATTATCACTAATGAACAAAATGAATAAATTTCATTTCTTCTCTTACTTTTCTGGTCCAAGGACATCAACAAGTTCATGTATCTCCACATTAGCTGCACATTTTAGACTACATCTACATCATAACCCTTCAATTCTCTACACTGTTTTTACATCATGTGACATTGTGTAATATTGCTCTATCAATCACCAATTTTTTCATTTAATTTATGTTAAGAATCTCATTCCAAACATGGCTCATGATTAAAAAGAAACCTTTTCCATCATGGATGCAGACTTGGGAAAGTTTTCCGTATAACCTCATGCTATACTGTCTTTTAATTTAAAGCTGTAATCTCAAAGATAATTCATTATCTTTGCCAGTTTTCTTCATCCAAGAACTGTATGCATAATTAAGTATAGGGCTGTGCAGAATTCTTTACTCAGGGTTTTCTTTCACTCAGGTGTGCAAATTAGTATCAGAAAACTATCACTGACATTTGATAAGATACTACAAGATTATGCGCTATGGGATCCTCACAAAATTAAGAACATTTTATCTTCCTGATACATCCTGGGTTTTTGCAATAGGGAGCAATTTCACTAAACCAGTATTTATTGTTGGTAATTAAAACTGTCTTAACATTAGTTTTTGGGCCAATATTTGAACAAAGTTTAGCCGCTGTTTAACAAAACCACATTCTAAGCTATCTTGAATTTAGCTGAATCTTTTATCTGAACTTTTATTTTAGTGAACAGTGTCAAGAGCGGCTGAAAGCTACCAGTGGAAGGACAATTGTTTATTAAAAGCAAACCTCTTATAGAGAATACATATGGCCCATTACTTGCAATAACTGNAATGTACAAAGTACTAATAATAATAATAATAATAATAATAATGAGCAGTTGACAACAGAATAATCCTAATAATAATAATAATAATAATAATAATAT